CACATTAATCTTAAATTCTAATCATTTCTGACTACAAAAGCGAAAATAACAAGTCGCTGTGGGTTGGAAATTGGAGTTGTGGGTGGACTTATATGGTATGGTCACAGTAAATGAAATGTTTATTGATAGGCGTTACCATAGATAGTATCCATACTATCCATAGTCTGAGATATTAATTAGCAGGCAACAATTTGGTTTAAGCACATTCCAATAAAGAATATCAAAATTGTAATAGATTAAATTGATTCCCATTGTTACAATAGCTAGTTTTAAACAGTTCCATAAATGGCACACACATTATGGACTTCGTACTTACAACCGCTCTATTAATTTGACAGTCAAACTTCAGAATAAAATTAACTTGCTACAAACATTATTCTTCCTTTGAACATGTTCATAATGTTCTAAGAATAACACAAATAAAGTCGTGGTTGATTTTATAGCATAATCACAAGCATACTAATTGACGTTACATACACTGGTATTATCCCGAAGGCAAAATAGGCATGTGCCTAGGGCGCCGAGTTTCTGAGGGGCGCTACGACGTTCCGAGACGCACGTGCCCACTGAGTGACGGCGGCGCCATAAAAAAATAGGAGCGCTTATGAGGTACTTATTGTTAATATTTGATAAGAAACAGCAATAAAGGCTATTTTACTTTATTTATTTATTTTATTTTGTTTATCAGGCGCTTGCCTAGTGTGCTCCCTGGATTTAATACTCTCTGGTTACATAGATTCATAAGGGATAACACAAACTTTGGTTCAAAGTTGTCACAAGAATTAAATTCCAAGTAATGTTTTATTACGTAATGTGAAGGTGGGTAATTGGGTATGGGTGCTGGGTGGTTGGCAGGTCGGTGTGGGAGGCCAGCCAGTACTTGTTGTAGGAAGTTGACCGCGGTGGACTCGTTTCCTACCGCTGCCACTGCCACTAGTTATCGGCAGATACGTCGTGCCACCACCCGCCGGAACCCGTTATCGATTTACAACTTCAAACATTTATCTAAAAGTTCGTCAATAAGTCGAGTCAATAAAATAATGCTTGTTTCATACTCAATGTTAACTCTATTTTTGTATTATTTGTCAATATTATATATTTCATAATATATTTCGGTGTGTAACACTCGACTTTACATATTTAGGTGTTTAATATATAGGTGTCTTGTTCAGAGATGATATTGTTGTAAGTTGCAACTGATATCTTTATAAGTTCTTTTAATGATAAGTCTTTGATAAGACAAGCCGTGACTCAAAACCATCATTATCATCAATATTTCAGCCACAAGACACCTACTTCTGAATATAGGACGGACATGTACTTAATATTTGCCTTGCAGTCACAAATCCTCGAGTGGGGGATATATTTAAAAAAATAAACAAGAATTCTTAACACCGATACAATAACGTAAACACGATAAAAATAATATTATGTACAAGTGCATAAATGCAGCACATCTATTCTATGGCGACTAGTGGCATGCGTTCGTTATCTGCTCTATTGTTCAATAAAACGACTCGATAAAAACTGCAACGCGCTAGAGAAAGCATCACATACAGTCACCGCCGTTATATTTATACTACAATAGAAACACGAACTAAATAAATTACTAGTTGCGTACCGATTCTATTCGAAGACAATGTAGATAGCAACGGACTTTGCCTTGCCTCGTTTAATTGTTTTTATTGCATCTTTTAAATGGCCACGCCAATCTGTAATAGTGTTCATTGGATGGAATCGGTTCGACCTTATACAATTCGTTTTAATAGGTACTTATTTATATCTCGGTTGATACGACTGAAGTTCATCAACTGATCTATATCCTAAATCTGATTCCAGCTAAGTTTCTGATAAAAAATGGAACATTTTTTAGCATTATTATACAACATGTAACTTATATAACGTACATCCTGAAAATAGTTTGTTCAGAATCGTTAACTGAATCGATTTATATAATTTTTAGTAGGTATAGGTAATTTTTTATTCCAAAAATAATTAAAACTACGGAAATTATTGACATATTAACCCTGTATTGTTAAAACAAATCGAAATGGACCGTAAGTCAAAGCAATAAGACTTTTAAAATCGCAGTTTTATTTGTATTCATACAAATTCTATCATTCAATACAAAATAAAGAAAAATAAACGTTATGACAAGAACAGTAAGGATGCAAATACATGTTAAATAAAAAATTTAGTGTATGTATTATGATTATAACGTAATATTCTAATTGGGGTGTTTGAGGGTGTGCGTTAATTACGTTACATGTTGTATATAGTATAGCATTTTTTTAATCAAAGAAGATATTCATTGATATAAATTACTTGTTTCAAGAATTATACGACCGATAGTAATAAAAGTAAACTTATTATCATCGAGCTAATTAAGATTATTATAATCAAACATAGTCCTATTGTACCAAAAAAACGGATCACATATTCTATTAGCGTATAAATATTATTGAATATTATTTAGGCCTATATTATGTAGATGGTATCAATACACTAAACATTAATAAGGAGATAAATGTTATTCTAGAAAACTCGGCATTATTATATATATTATTCAATAATCGCCCTGAGGATATTAGTGCGTATGTACTAGAATAATTAGCCAGCTTCGGTAATTAACTTACACAATTATTATAAGATCTTTTATATGATTAGGATTATTTATTTATTTTTGGTGACTAACACGCAGATATCTTTTCGCTGGAGTCGACACAAAAAATATAGGTTTCATTATAGTAGGTCTTGTGTATAAGTGTAATACTAATTCGAGTTTGTTTTACGCTTTAAAGTAATCGTAACGAGTACGCGTTCGGCGCTATGATTGGTTGGTTCATTGGCGCCGACCAATCAGATTTCCGAACGCGTACTCGTACGAATACTTTAAACGTAAATGAAACTCGTAGGCCTCAAGACAGGTGAATTAGAACATACTTTCTACAACTTTCTATTCATATCATAGTAAAATTACTAAATATGTGAGCCAATAAAATAACTCCGCTGGCTAGTTGATATTAGCAAACTGACATTGTTTTTGTATTTAAAAACAAAAATATTAATTTATGAGCCCGATATTTACCTTTGCCTAAAACTTGTGTGGAGATCATACACCAAATTCTGCAATTATTTATATTAAAGTAATATTTATTCACTGAATACGTAGGCATAGATTACAATGAATTATTTTGTAAACACATAATATGTATGTCCAGTTACTGCAATTGGTTTTAAATCGTTGTGACTTTAAATTTAAATAAATAAACAGGCACATGCACCCGTCAATCCACAAATTCTGTTTTCAAAGTATGTGATATAAACAGAAAAGTATATGACATAACATAACATCACGCCTTTTATCCTCGAAGGGGTAGGCAAAGGTGCACATTAGTCACTGTACAATGTAACACCCACTTTTCACTATTTATGTTATGAGTCCCATGCAATAGGGAGTGAGCCTATTACCATATACCGGGCACAATTCCATACTACGTGCTACTATGTACTATTTTTTTTTAAAACCCATTTATACATAAAAGTATATTGTGGTTGTAAAAGGTAAGTTGTGAATAACGTCACAAGGCCTCACAAACAACTCTGTTATTCAAGCAAGCAAGCAACAAGCAGAACTTATGTCTGCAAATGTTACTGTTCACAATGTTCTTTATTCATATTGAAATTAATCTTTCGAACCAATAATTCTCTACGTGCCGCTGTACTTGAGGAAGTAAATCAGACGGTGGCAAATCCATTGTTGATGTTCATATTAGGTATTAAATAGAATTGGAAGCGGCGGAGAAATGAAATGAGGATACGTGAGGCCGAAGTACTCAATAAACATGAAGCTATGTAGGTACATAGCTTCATGAAATGCACGCTTTTCACTTAGGTAAGTGAAAAGCGTGCATTTCAAAAGTCTACTAAAAAGTTTATAAAAATCGGTTTGATGTAAGGGTAGTTCATAAAAAATGTCACTAGATGGTGATAGAATCAACAAGCAATTATTGGTCTTATTATCATTTTTAGACGATTTTATTTATCTTGACTCGTTCGTTTGTTTGGTTCAAATTTAGTTATTGGAAATTTACGCCCTTCCTGACGACAGATTGAGCTGGTATTTGGTACACACTCTTAATCTTGATGACCAGACCATATTATGATAGGTATAATCTGTTTTGTTAAAAACTACCTCCATTATAGGTATCAAACGAGAGCTCCATAAAAGTGTTTAACATATATTTTTTAAGTCTTACTTGTGGTGAAAATAAAGAATGTACTTAATATGGGTGCGTTTAGAAATCAATTTTGATTAATTTTCTTTTAGATTTGACATCTTTTCAATTTTGTTTATCAATACTCCGAGTACCGAATACAAAACGTCTTTAGCGTCTTTTTATTATGTTTTATTCATGCCAAAGAATATGAAACGTATTCAAAAGAAATGTAGGCGGTGAATCAAAACATTCACATAGTGTCGTTAGTTAATAATTATTTTAGATGCTTTCAGTTGTTACAATGGGGTAGTAGACAGGGTATGAAAATTAAAAATGTAATTAGTCCGTCATTTAGATAATGAAAAAATATTAGACACATATATTTTTATCTTGTCGTATAAGAAAACAATACTTAAATAAAGCGGAGTTAATTTTAGGAATGGAAGGTCGTTACGTCACTACCCTAAAAATATAGTAAATCGTGACGTCACACGACATTTCAAATCAAAATATCGTCGAAAGTATTTAATTTTGTAAGAAAAGAATAAATACGTCTCTAATGTTTTAAAATAATGTACCAGATGAGATAAAATAAAATTAAGGTCCTGTTCCACAATATCTGGATAGCCGCTATCTACCAGATAAGTTTGAATTGAGAACGTAATTTGTATGAACTATCTATGGAGGTGGTGAAACCGGCGCTTAGGATACTATCCTATTCTTAAAAATATACATACGACATATCTTTTTGCAGAAAATATATTTAAATCTTTGTTCCAGGGGAGCGGGCGGAGGTGGTATGTTTGGTGACGTCAATATCTCAGCCATTTTGGATTCGCTAAGTGTAAGCTACGATAAAAGAGTGAGGCCGAACTATGGAGGTTTGTATAATTGGATTTTATTTTATTTTTCTAATAAAGTTCATCTAATAAGCTTTGCGGGTTGTATATATATTTTTTTAAAGGAGTTTCTTTCTTTGTTTGTTTAACTGTTGTGATTGATTGAGAATCTGTAAAAGTTTACCTTTGGTATACGATTTTATAGATAACTTATCGCTATCTATGAAATCTAAGTGTACGATTGTTTACAAAATTGTTTTGTTTGGTAACATTACCTATAGAAGTTTCATTAGAATTTGGAAATCACAATATGTATGTATCTACATTTTTAAGGACTGTGCTTAATACTATTTTTATATGAATGCATTTTGAAACAATATTATGATTGATTACTCAATATGCATTTTTTAATAATCTATACGTAGCTATTTAGAGAAAAATCTTTAATAAAACTGTCAATTACAATTACAACAAAAAATATTTAGTTAACATTTCGTTACATAAAGCCCCTTAATCTCAGAGAGGGTAGACAGAAGTGTATTACAAGCTGAAATAACGAAGTACCTTCGTTTCTATAATTTGCATAAGTAAATAGTTTCGTAATGAATTAGAATATGATGCTTATTTTAAGTTTTACTTGCATTACTTAACTAGGTGGCTGCCAGCAAAGTGTCATCTGGATATATACAACTAAGTATTATACATGGAACAACTGCCAAAATCTTAATAACATTTATTCTTAACAAAACATAACATCACGCTTTTCATCCCTGAAGGTGTAGGCAGAAGTGCACATTACGCCACTTACTGTCACTCTGCCACTATACAATATGACACCCACTTTTCACTATTTATGTTATGAGTCCCATGTAATAGGGGGCGAGCCCATTGCCATATACCGGGCACAATTCAGGACTCCGTGCAACTACTAAGAATCTCTAAAAACCCAGTAATATTTTGCCCGACCCGGGAATTGAATCTGAGACCCTTTGCCCGACAGTGGCACCTGCGACCGACCTCGGCCAACGAGGCAGTCTTATTAAATTTTATTCTTAAGTATTAATAATACTTATCTGTAGATCTAAACGCTTGTAAAGATGGACGGGATACGTCCATCTTCAAGGCCATGAAAATGGGTATGGTGAATTTTAAAGGTCGCAACGATTTTTTTTATATTCCATATAGAATATACATATATATTTATAGTCAGTACAGTCAGCTGTTTACTGTACAAGTGAGCAAATGCAGATTGATTCCGTATAGACAGTAAACCAATGGTGGTTTGCTACTGATCCGATCAATGATATAAAATATGTGGCTTGGTTAAACACTGTATAATTTAATATAATACTAGCTATTGTTTCTGAACTACAATCTATATTTTCTTACTAGCCTAGTAAATAGCTGTGTTGTACATACATAAAAATATTTTTTATGCGCGAATATGTAGAAATAACATATGAATGATAATATAGTACAAATATCAATATTGTTTGTTGTCGCAATAGGTGAGCCTATTTTTAGTGTAATTTCAATACGAGTAAAAAGAAAAGAAATTAATAAAGATCTTGATAATTATGATTGTAATACAGTTTTAACTCGTTGAGTACCGGTTTTGTATACACATTATAGAACAATAGGTTGCGGTCACCGATGACCGCTTGGTGTTTGACAGTTTAAATAGGTAGGTACGGTGGGTATAATAAGTAAAAAGTCCGAAGTGGGACTTCTTTGCAGCTTCCACATCTATATTAATACTTTTAATGGGATGTATTGTGTATGTTCGAAAATCAACGTTGTAGCTAAGTACCTACTTTTTCGAAACACACTATTCTTACCGATATTAAAACCAATATTGTTGGAGCTAAATAGTAAATTACAATAAGTACCTATATGGGATACTCAATAAAAATTTAGGATGGGCTGAAAAGTTCGTAGGCTAACCAATATATGGCGCTACAGGATCAAATCCTTATAATTTCCACGCTTAGATTATGCTAGTACTACTACTATACTATACTAGTACTATTAGTGTCAGAATTATAGCATTTTGAGTAAACTAACTTTTGTCACTTTGAAAAAATGGTAAAAGAGAAGTTCTTGTGTTGATAAAGCACGGCTTTTTGGCGAAAAAAATACTGTTGAAACATTGGTTTCAAATATTGATTTGGCTTGACAAATATTATTGAACTTTGTACTGGAAAGTAAATCGTAGAAAAGTGGTCTGCTAAAGTTTGATAAAGCAAAATGAGAATCGAGGACGATGCATGCCGTGGAGGCGTGGATGCCCAAAAAGACGATCACGAAAGTCAATAAAATATTTTTTGGTAACCATAAAATAAAGTTGATTAATATGACTATAACTGAGAACCAAGATGTCAAAGGAATGTGTAGTCATATCGTGAATGATTATTTGAATATGCGAAAGCTCTATAAAAAGTGGGTGCCGCGCGAGCTCATAATCGACCGAAATCAACAACGAAATTAATGACGAAATATCAATACGTCCGCATCCACCGCACTCTCTAGATCTGGCCAAAACTGAAGTCAGTTTTGGTGTTTAATTGTCTAGACTTCTATTTCTACTCAAAAAATCGTAATATTAAAATGTTATCGAAATATTGTATGACCACCTATAGTCGTTGTATAGCTTTCCTCGGAAACTGTTGAATAATAAAAACAAATGCTAGCAAATATATTTTTCTATGCTAGTTTACGAACTTCTTAGCACTCCTGTCTCACTTCGACAATGAGTGACTATTTCTATTATTTGAATTGAGAAAACCCCTGTAACGACAGTGTAGGAAATTGCGGGTGCAAACCGCAATGGACTGCATTTTATTTATGGCATCTTAAGGCAATCTACCTCACAACTAGATAAAGAAGACTTTTACTAAATAACGAGCTAGTGCGTAGACAGTGTAGCCCTAATGTTATTCCGAAGATAATATATGACTAAGCATTAAGAGAGGGCGAATGAGAACATTGTAACAGCGTCGTCACAGGTAATGTAATTGATGTACCATTTCAGGACCGCCCGTGGATGTGGGAGTCACCATGTACGTGCTCTCCATCAGCTCCTTATCTGAAGTGAAAATGGTATTTACAGCTGCAAAACTACTTTTACGTAGATTGTCATTTTAAGAACAAAAAATGACATAACAGCGTCTAGGTTAGCGGCCCTCGATCGAGCTATGGGATCTTTTTGCAAAACTTCGTTGAAATGATTCATCCTACGTTCAATCGAGGGTCTCGGGGCGTCACGTCACCGTCCTCTGGTTTGGTTTTCACGGCGCGAGGCGCGTGCGCGACTCACGATTGGGCTTGATTGCAGGTCCGCCAGTGGAGGTGGGCGTCACCATGTATGTGCTCTCTATCAGCTCCGTCTCCGAAGTGCTCATGGTACTCGCCACTGTCAGCTCACGCTTGTCTCGGTCGCTCCGGCCGCACGCTGCGCCGCTGCGACCGAGCAGCCCCAGACACGAGGCTGCGAGCATGCCGGCGATATGGAGCCGACCACCCGGACGGCAACGCACCTCCCACTTTACTTGTTCTTTTAATTGAATCAATATCTTGTATGTGCTGTGCGCACTGTACGCGTATATGTTTTGAATATGGTGGTGTGCCCCTCCGGGTGTGTCTTCAAAAGACATACTAAAATGTTACCTTGCCATTAAGCATCCCTCAAAGCAAAGACACTGTCGCAAAATTTGCTCCATATTGTTGTTATTTTAAGCTTTTTATGTTCTTGAGGTATTTGTTGTGACTGTGGGTTTCTTACTATTGTATCTTCGAATGGTGTCTTACACCTCGGATACTCCACTTGCCTTTTCTTACTTTAGTAGTCTTGCTGTGAGTGTATTTCGTGTTTGTACTGTGATTCAGTAACTTCCCGTCTGACAAGGAAATTGGAAATTTACTGCAATAACTCGATCTTTATATTTGTTTCCCACGAAATCTATTAATTAAATTAAATTTTCTAAGTAAAGAGAGTTCTGGTACATGGTTTTCCACACAAAATGTGAGGTCTAGTGCGTGCTTAATGGCTCTTATCGAAAAAACAAAGAAAAGTATTAACACAATTAATGAAATCACTAAAGAATATTAGAAAAAAAACCGTAAATCAAGCCGCCGAAAAATACCTTTGATGACGGTTCCAATATACAGACGTCAAACTAAGACCAGGGTGTATGACCCCTAGTGGAAACCAAATCAAGGAGACTCTGAAAGTCACTATAGGACGTGACCCTACCCGGACACTAGATATAGAAATAACTAGTAAAAGTACACGTACCAGTACAGCTCCACGTGGTATGAGTACAGTTGACAGTATGAATACCTTTAATGACCAAATAAACTGTTTGACAGAAGTCACTTTGTTGTGAAGTGGTTTTGTGTATCTACTTATTTCGCTTTTCTCTTTACATATTCGCTTTGCAGCATAAGTAATACTCTTACGTGTACTTTATTGTGTAAAATATTACTATATAAATTATTCGTATTAATATTTTACACGTCTACCAATACCTACCTAAAATACGTTTCATTATACGAGGTAATGATTGTTAATATTTCATTGGGCATAATTATGAGGCCAGTGCAGTTTGCAATATTATTATTGACCAAATTGCCCGCAATATTGCGGAAATTCAATACACTCGTATTTATGTATCTCAGAACCTCAATCACGAGTAATATTATATTTGTAGAAGCTAAATTCATGATAATAATGATGCAATTATGAGTTTACCTTGTAATTCACACATGTTTAATGTGGAAAATTACCTCGATCTAAAGTATAGTAAAATCATAAAGTTATTTTGAATGTTATTCTCATTCATGCTCGTATTTCCTGACATTCGAATCGCACAGACAATGAATGTGCTTCGGCGATAACGTTTCGCTGCATTCATTAAAGCAAATTAACATTTTAAGCAGGCGCCAAGCAACCCTACAAACGAACAGTATTGCCGGATTACATCCATTGTTGTGCCAGTGTAAGTCAATCAAGTTGCGCTATTATTTCCTACAACAATAGAAAATGTTTCAGGATTTCACCCTGGATTTCTACTTCAGACAGTTTTGGACAGACCCCAGGCTTGCTTACAAAAAAAGGACGGGTGTGGAGACACTTTCCGTCGGCTCAGAATTTATTAGAAACATATGGGTACCCGACACTTTCTTTGTTAACGAAAAACAGTCTTATTTCCACATTGCTACTACAAGCAACGAATTCATCCGCATTCATCATTCTGGATCTATTACTAGGAGTATAAGGTAAATATTGAAACAAAATTTACAATGCATGTTTAGGGTCCTCTACATCCGAGACTAACTGTTTCCATCAATTTCTACTTAAATGTGTCTAACAATTTAAAAAAATATGCTTTATTTCAGTCTGAACATCATTGATCGCATTTGTATATTATTATAGTTTCAGCAATCTATGAATAATTGTGCTCAACATAATTAGTCCCGATAACATTTTGCGATCCGGGATTTCCTGCACCATGTGGGTAATCACGTACCAATCAGCAATCAATTATTGTATCTGTATGTGCAGGCCGAGGCTAATCCTTATTAACAACTAAGACGTCCGATCACGTTCAATGTTTGCACGTAGTTGAATAAATTAGTTGATGCCCATCACGACAGTTAAAAGCTCGTGCCTTGAGTTAGCTCTAAATCCATAACAATATTACACAAACTCAAACAATAGTGGTTTATCCAAAATCAATTTAACCATGTCTTCAAGGCACTGTGTAAATACAGTAGTTGTTTGGAAGTAGGTGGTCTCAGGTGGACTAAAACAAACCAAAAAATGACACCAAAATACAACAAGAGTACAATATTATTGATCTATTGGCTTATCTAAACAGCTTGCACTTGTTCACAGACTGACTATCACCGCTTCTTGTCCAATGGATCTGCAATACTTTCCGATGGACCGTCAATTATGCAATATTGAAATCGAAAGTTGTGAGTTGGATGCACTTAATATATTTTTAGCTTACGGCCTATTTCATCACCTCTAGCTGATCATTGCCTTTAAAGTAAATGTAATTTTGGAACAGCATTTGTATATAACACTCCCGATAAATGCACCTGGAGGCAGTGAAATAGTTCTAATTAATTAAAAATATACAGTTTCACGTCCTTTGCTCTGTAAAACATGGACGTGCTTTCTTAAATGAATAAAAACATCATTTTATTACTTGACCAGCAGACTCATGACGCTTTCAAGTTTGGTAGACAAAGTCTAAATAAAAGTTTATAAAACGCTTGAGAACTTGCACTACCGTCGTCGTTATCTGGCGAAGCAGTTATCCTAACATTTCTCACCCACGGTAGTCCGGTAGCTATAAATTCATTCACCTTATACAGATATTAAGAAACCCCAGTGCAATGGGTGCTTATTTTATCGTTCCATATCTCTGCATGGTACAGTCGGCTACACCATGCGGGACATCCGATACAAGTGGAACGAGGGGCCCAACTCTGTGGGCGTGTCGAGCGAAGTGTCTCTGCCGCAATTCAAGGTGCTGGGCCATCGGCAGCGAGCCATGGAGATCTCTCTTACGACAGGTATACAGCACCGATGAAACATTCCACAATTTGCCGAAAATCGATCGTTGCCGCTTTTTCTTTACTTCAAAATAGACACCTGCATGCATTCGCTTCTGCCAGACATCCTCCCAAACATCAGTTACTTTCCTTTGGTGACCTGGTAAAGCTAAATCGATATTTGACTTCGATTTGTCCAACTTTTTTTTTTAATTATGCTGATCACATTCATAAAATTTATTAAATCGATTGTTATAATATGTACTTTGATTGCAGGAAACTATTCACGACTGGCATGCGAGATTCAATTTGTCCGTTCAATGGGATACTACTTAATCCAAATATACATTCCATCTGGCCTAATTGTAATTATATCTTGGGTATCATTCTGGTTGAACCGAAATGCGACACCTGCTAGGGTATCACTAGGTGTTACCACTGTACTTACGATGACTACGCTTATGTCATCCACGAATGCCGCACTGCCCAAGATCTCATATGTCAAGTCTATCGATGTCTACTTGGGAACCTGCTTCGTCATGGTCTTCGCCAGTCTTCTAGGTAACAATATATGGAAGGATGTTAAAGATAAAAAAATAAAATTTTTGCCTTTTAAAAATGTAAAACAAATACTACATATTTTCTGAAGTTAATTCTGACTTCGTACTTACTTATTGATTATATTGTATTTTGTATCATATTTTTAATAGCAAATAGGTTATGAGTAAATTTATTGTGTAATTTGCTCAGCGATGTTACACTGGAAACAGACATGATTACTTACAGAAATATTTGGTTACAGAATATGCTACCGTCGGCTATATGGCTAAAAGGATACAGATGAGGAAACAAAGATTTACTGCTGTTCAGAAAATGGCTGCTGAAAAGAAAATGCAAATAGACGGGCCACCAGGTACATCGGAGCCTTTACCACCACCGAGGACGAGTACGCTAACGAGACCACCACCACCGAGTAGATCTTCAGTAAGTATTATATGTATTTGCGTTCAATATTGTGCGTATTTATGTAGATGGCTTTCTCGTTACTAATTATATCAATTAATTCAGGAGGTCCGATTCAAAGTTCATGACCCGAAAGCATATTCCAAGGGCGGCACCTTAGAAAACACTATCAATGGATCTCGAGGTCCCGCTCCGGCACCTGTACCTGCTGCCCCGCAGCCTGATGAAGAAGCTGGACCACCCCCGCACCTTATTCATGCTTCGAAGGTACACTATGTCTTCTTATTGATCATAATAAACATGTTTAAACGGCGACTGTTTGAGTTTGTGATGCGTAAGCGAGATGCACATGTTATGCGTTGCGATCGATGCGAATTCTGGATTGCGAACTGATTTAGCTTGTTAAGTTAAACGTTAATCATCGATGTTAAGGTGAATGATATTTACAGGGTATCAACAAACTGCTCGGAACGACACCATCGGACATCGACAAGTACTCTCGCATCGTGTTCCCCGTCTGCTTCGTTTGCTTTAACTTAATGTACTGGATCATATACCTCCATGTTTCCGACGTTGTGGCCGACGACTTGGTACTACTAGGCGAAGAAAACTAATTTCTCTCGAATAAACTATACTTACCGGACTTGTTCAAACTTAGGGTGCTCATGATCAACCATCCATCAAGTTTCGGTAATGCGCTTTGGAATCCTAGAAACGCTCGATAATCTATTAGCGTTCTGTAATCTTATAAATATAACAAATAAACATCACTATGATTATAATAGATACGTGTCGCGTATATTGACACTGGTAATATTGAATTCTTTAGAAAATAGAGATAATATAAAGTTCAAAATATAAGTCAATCTGTCTAAGAGACAAAATGTTATATCTTCAACAGTTATCAGTCTTAAATAAATGTGTATGTATACATGAAAATCCGCAGTTATAAAGTAATATACATTTTATGGGATTAAATTAGTTTTTAATAAGAATCCAAGTTTATATACAAATTACTAATTGAAAATCTAAGCGCTTTTTATTGCTAACTTCAAATGATGGCTGTCTTTACTTCTCTAGTTGATTAAGTAGCAATTTTATAGAATATATATCACTAATAACATTGAAAAGAATATACTGAGTGGACAGACGCGTGTATTCAATTTAATCAAACTGTAGTTATTGTCACTTTGATCGGCAAGGCATTGAAAGGATAAATTCAAACGTAAGATTTTCAGTCATTTTAATCCACACAATACATCAGCAAACTGTAATATTAATTAAATAAATATTAATATCCAAAAAATATGGAGTCGATTGTATTAAAAATAGATTATTAAATCTCAATTAACACGACAGTAGTCACAATTTCATAGCCCGGTATCGCCACAAAGATTTTTCATTTATTTAGAAGATGCTGATGTTATAGAACATCATTTGCCCGAATTATGAAATGTATTTCAAATATTCGTATAAAAGTATATCGGTACAAAACAGTAAAGTAACTACAATACACTAAAGGTAACAGGGACTACGTACTTTTTGACGACAACTGGTGTTTAGGAAGTTGGACCACAGTCCCTTACCGATAGTGCCTCTTCATATTACAGTACTAGTCATTAATCTATGAAATTGACATTAGCGCGCGTCACTAGGTACTTAAATAAAGAACTAAAATATAACGACGGAATTTGAAGAGGACTTGATACCGTATTTACGATCATGAGTCCTTTATAGGACAAGATGTAAATAATTATACATAATATTATATTTATACGATTAGGATACACATACACGATTGCTCTAGTTTTTTAAAAAGTTATTCGGTTCAATTTAACATGTATACACCGGTATTACACTTCAAATTAAATCTAGTGCACAGAACACTTTTTCTACGTAGTTTAAAAATTTACATGTATCAATTGAATGTAATGTGTTAGATCTGACGGAGTGACATGATATGTTCTTAAGAGTAAGATTGGTTCATCGATCTTGATTTCTTACTTCTCGGTCTTAATCAACCTTGAATATTGATCGGGTTTGTGTTATATCTAAGGCAACATATATTACGCGGAGAGACTCGGTGAGACCTTTGTAATGTACGTCTTTACACGTATTTCGTAAGTACAATAAACTATAAGATAAAAGAAGAAAGGAAGAGAAGAGTTCGTAGAGTACCGTTATTAGAGCTGTGACTACTCTAAGTTTTGATCTCACAATTAATTGAAAATATACATAAACTTAGAAAAATAAACTTATCTACTAATAATAATGTAAAAGGGAAACAATTCTTAGTTGTGTTTGTGCTCATATAGGCTTGTAGAGGTTTTATTGATATTGTTTATATTTACGTATACATTCCAATTTAACTGGGAAGACATTTTCCCAAGTTTCGTTTTATACGATACTTCCTTGTTGTGACTCCAGTTTTTAGATATTTACAGTATCATTTTGGAGTATTTTAAGATTTGAGCTACAAGCCATTTCTTGTTAGAAAAATCCCTTATTATTTATTTCTGAATTTGCTCAACGTTTTTCAAAGACACTATTTATAAATATGTATAAGGGAGTGCAAATAGTTGATTTGACTAGGAAATGTAATAAATAGGTTAGGTAGTGATATTTTTAAGTAATTATAATTTGCCTCCTATTTTATACCCACATTCTCAGACTGTGCATTAAGACTAGCGTTTATAAATTTTATCATTTAGAAAGTCTATTTCTGTTCTAAAGATATTAAAATTTATTTAAAATACAATTAATCCTAAATATTGTATAAAGACTGAGTCAATATTCTTTTAGTTCCTCATATTTACAGCTATAATGAACATGACAGCCATCTATAAGTTCCCTTGATTACGTAAGTTCTTCTGTTTCTAGATACTGCATTAACTAAAAGTAACAAAAATATATAAGAAATCTATTGCATTACTATCGCAAGATAGTGACATAAATATTCTGTTCTAAAATATATTTATATACATATATATATAATAATGACGATACGTTATAATTAGTAGTTACAATCAGCCAAATTGATAAGTATATCTTTAACGATTAACTATTAGTCGACCTTCAGAATGAACTATGGATTAAATGTACATGATTATGAAAAAAAATATGTAAGATGTGAAATTCGCATTATATTGCACCTAGTTAGTAAGTGAGTAGCGTAGCTTAGCGGACGGGGGAGCGGGCGAGGCGAGCCGAAGGGGATGGCCACAGTTTACTTAGTAAAAGTTTCGGGGCTGGAGTACAGCGGCAGTGGGCCAAGTTATTGGCACGGCTAGCGACTCTTGCTAAGCGGTGACGCTCGAGCCTCTCTCCGCTCAATTCCAATTTAAACTGCATTCTATCTACACTACTACTATGTACACTGAAACATCTAGCGCGCATTGCCCGCAAACCTCTTTCGCGAAACCAAATTCTAAATCACATTTAAATAAAATCTAGCATTATTAAAAAATTATACTGTGTGAGTAAAATCAATCTAGAAAACTAAGATGATGATGATAATTTATTATGATATAGGTATCAAATAAAATTTCAATAATATTAATATATATATATTATATTATCACGTTTCCCAAATTAGTCTACCTACTCTCGTATAACTGATCCACAATGAAATATTTCGCACTAGAAAAACTAATTAATTACTTACACTTGTCAAATATTATGGAGATTTTCTTGCTGAGATTTTAGGGACTGGCAAGTGACTTCGTGTTCAGACGAATTAATAAATAGTAGTGAACGAGTATTAAAAAAACTAAAATCATCCATATAAACAAAGGCTGTCGAAAGTAAATATTCTAAACTAATTCTGACTACTTTAAATTATTGTAAGCAACAAGCATGAATCGCCGTCACTTGCGCGTGCGCCTGTAGGTGGCGCTCTAAGTACTTTGTAATTATTCTTACTTTGCTGCACATTCAGGTATTGGGCCTGCAAGAAGCACATGCGTTCAAATGGTTTTACATAGGATTATACTTAATATGTAGATATTACGTACACATCATAACTATCGGCACTTGATTTCAAAGTAATTCTGCATCATAGACGCATATTATACATACATATAAAATATTTAATAAATAAAGCATAGTAAATGCAGACTTGAATAGTGCCAAATGCGAGGCTTTAAAATTTTATTATTCGCTTTTTATTACGAATATATTTCTACCACATCTGTTTTAATATAATAAACTGTCAATGTCATTAGATGTGTCATATTTGTGTTTCAATTGAAGTATACCCTAGAAATAGATAACATTGTGATGTATATAATAAATTATATACAGTATATGTATACATATATATATCCCTGTAACTTTGAGCAAAGGTTTGTTGTTGAACACGAGTATGTATACCACTTTTGTAAATAAAATCCAACGATCTGTCCTACGAGGAATTACTTCATTTACAGGCAGTGTAATGTATTGCAGTTACTTGTGAATTGTATCTCGATGCTGATTTTTTTACCTATACTTGTATTAAAGTGTTTCGTAATAAGATTTAAAATTTTTGAGGCATATCATGTGTTAGAATTTATTATGCTGTTTCTTTGTTATGTAATTTAATATCCTCTGCACATTCATTTATATGTGAGTGCTTATGAAAATATTTCATCAATGCTTAATGTATTTATTTAATTATTTCTATGACCATGAAGTGATACAAGCGAGAGCAAGGTTCATCTCAAACTTTGATCGAATATTTTCATAAGTAACATTGTGATTGCACCTCGAAGTATGTTTATGTAATTATATTGAGCTTCTGCGTGTTTTATGAACCTGTGTATATTTTATTGACAATTGTATCAGTGTTAAGTAGTGTTCTGTTATCATTATAATATAAGAGAAATAAATTAAAATATCCAGCTAATTATAGTTTTGGTGTTATTAACGTTTGAAACTAATAAAAATTATTAAAATCTTTTGTTTCAACTTGCTGGTAAAATCAGTTACTACTAAGTATATGAATATTTCTTCGACCAAAATATTTATGACAATAATTAATAAACCATTTACCTAATAAAAACGTCAGTATGTCAACATCGAATCGCTTGAACGTAGAAAATTAAAGATCTATGCTGCCGTCAGAAATTACGAGTACTTATCCACGTTGTTACAAGTCAGTACAACATCAATCATTTATCTACACAAATATCGTAACTACTGCACGCCAGTTACTAAACAGCTGGTGATAGGTACGAATTTATTTATCGAAACGAATTTATGCAGACCAGGTGAATGAATTGGTACTTAATGTCGCTGGCTGCCATATAACACACGTATTGGCTGAGAACCCGGAATCTATGAAAAGAGTTATAAGTATCCTCAATTCTCTAAATACTATAGTTACAAACTATTGTCTATTAACCAATGTTCTGAGACAATAATTCATTATTCATACTTTCTGGTCTAAAGAACGGACGACAACTAAAGTATTCCTTAAAACAATCACATTATGGCATATAATATAACCGATTCCTACAAAGCCCTGATTAGTCACAAAACTGAAGAGGTTGTAATTCTAAGTTTCTTGGACACGACTGTGCAGCTTTACATTACACCGTCCGTTTCTTGAAATATCATACTTCTAGAATTTCAGCAGAATATATTATGCACCTTACAGCTTTAACTAGTTAATACCTAATAGACCTATCTTTTTGCTTGTTAAAGTACTACCAAAATTCTAAAAATTAAAATTTGTCTATTATAATTTTAGCACACTCAGTTGAAGTGTGTGTACACGTAGTTCCATTAAACAACATTGAAAAGATATTAGTTTGCAGTTAATATTTGGGTCAACTAACCAACGTTACTAACTAGTCTAGTTGCTTCCTACTACTGGTCACAAGTCAGTATTTCTTGGAATATACAATGTGTTTATCGGTCAGTTTAGGTACTACGACTACCGTCACGTAACTTAGATTCACTTACCTAATTAAGCGTATGCACACTTCTACTGATGAGCACTAAGTTCGTAACTCGGCCAGATTGTAGTTCGTATTCCATATATGAATACTGTGCAGTGCTTCGCTTCCACAGAAATATATCTAATATAATGAAACTGACGTAACAGATTCTAAATATATATAAAATATATAGTTTGTTATTGTTTGAGGCTGAAAGTTTTAAAACTCTCGAACATTATATATTGTCTAACAACGTGTTGTGTCAATGTATGAAATAAAGAAGTTGTGTAATTTATTTAATTTATTGAAATGTCTAATATCTAAGTTGAATATGTAACTAAAGAATCTTCCTCGATGCAAAACTAAATTTTATGGTATTGGTGTGGTTAATGATGTTGCTCAAACTGAATAACTTTAAAAGAAGTAGTTACATTGTACGAAATTTAGTTCTGTGATCCAATAAATTATAATATATGATCTGTATTGTCGTTTCATTTTGATCAAAAGCCCCTTTTCTAACTGGCTGTTGAGAGGATTGGTAAATGACCATGGATTTGATCTAGGTATCAGATTTCCTATTTTGCTTGCCACGACTTGCAATGACAAGTATCGTAACATGTCAATGGGATGTAGCCCTAATGACCAACGACATAACTATATATGGAAGATATTGAAAAAAGATGAATTTAATGTCGCTTAGAAATTATTGTAGCACCAAAATGTCAGTGGTGTATTTATGTGTGCGTGTACTTGCAGCATCGTAATATATGAAGTGTATTGGGTCATAAAGCGCGACAGATGTCCTTCGTGTCAATGTGTGTGTATTCTATGTGTAAGTCTATTGTAGCCAGGTATCACAGACTATGTTACAAGAGACTATGCCCGCCTTTGTTTCGACATTCTTAAGTATGGTATCTATAGTAGGTACCATATGCCTATATGGCAGCGTTCAAAAATGTGTGAAAAGTATCGCAATACACATAGCTTTTCTTTTTATTTAACACTTTTATAATAAAAACAAAGTAATGTGGAATGTCGTGGTGGCCCGGAGGTTAAAGACGGGCGCTTCTCATGCATGAGGGTGCGGGTTCAAAACCTACGAACGGCAAGTGCCAATGTGACTTTTCGAGTTATATGTACTTTCTAAGATTATCTAGATACGGTATATAGGTGAGATATCCTGGGCTTATAGTTTCTAATTATAAGATTGCAATGGCTAACCCGCATTAATCAAGCATGGTGATTAATGCTCAAACCTTCTCCGTGTGCGAAGAAGCTTTGCTCAGCAGTAGGCACTTATAGGCTGTTGATGATGAATGTGAAAATTAACGACAAATTTATTATCCTTAATGAGCATAACTATAAGTCACCCTATTTTAATCTTTTGAAACAGTATCTGTACTGTGTCAGTAACGTATTCCTTTTCGCTTCAATTCATCAATACTGAGAGGATTTGAAAACGGTTTCGTTTCTGGCTTCATGCAATTATTTCCTCTCTCCCACCTCTCCCACGGTGGACTATCATGAACTATTAATAACGTAACATTACTCCTTTTATCCCCGAAGGGGTAGGCAGAGGTGCACATTATACCACTTTACTATGTAACACTCACTTTTCACTATTTATGTTATGATTCCCATGTAATAGGGCGTGAGCCCATTGCCATGAGCACAATTCAGGACTCCGTGCTACTACTGAGAATCTTTTAAAAACCCAGTAATACTTTGCCCGACCCGGGAAACGAACCCGAGCCCTTTGCCCGGCAGTCGCACTTGCGACCACTCGGCCAACGAGGCAATCACTATTAATAACTGTAGTATAGTTTAACAATGAACCATACTCACTAATAACATTGTTACTAGTTCCAAAAATCTCGGAGATAAACAAATATGTTTGAAACAAAATTACCCGAACGTACTCGGACATTGCACTGTACTGATGCAAAGTACATCGGTCCTCTTCAAACGTAAAATGACTTTACAAACTTACAAATCTGCACTTTACGTTTTGCTCCGCCTTCAAAAGGATCTGCGGAAGTTTTAAAGATTTCAGTTCCCCGAGCGCTGACTTGCAGAGTCTTGAAATGGAGAATACAAAAATTATTGGCATAAAATTTTATTTCATAAGTTATGCAGGAAATTCGATACACAATTTGCTGACGTGGACTATTGCTGCTGATAACGATATTTCATAACATTATGTGCCCTTTATGTCACTGTTAGTACAATGTAACACTCACTTTTCACTATAATGTTATGAGTCCCATGTAATAGGGGGTAAGCGTATTGCCATATACCGGGCATAATTCCAGACTCCGTGCTACTACTGAGAATTAAAATAAAATCCAATAATACTTTGTCCAACCCGGAAATTGAAACCGAGATCCTTTATTCAACAAACGCAGATATATATATATATCTTGTCAACAAATACAAAACTAGCTTCTGCTCTCAACTTCGTTCGCGACATTAGGCAGATTTTTGGACCTAGGATCTAAAACAAATTATACCGTATATGCTGAACCGCGGAGACCGTAAAGGAAGTGCAGGAGTAGGGACGGGTTGATTTTTAGTCAATAAGACATTCCCTCCTTACTCATCCAGGCGGGAGAAGTCCCCCCTTAAAAAAACTCTACATGCTGCCCAAGCCCAACCTTAGAAGCTATACCTACAGTAAGTCTCATTAATTCTTTTCATTACTCCTGGAGATTAACGAGCGCAAACAGAAATGTGATGTTTTTCTAGAACTGTTGCGCTACAACACTATTTTTGTTATAATGAGAAATATTTATTGTTTGGACACACTATTTACTGTTGTATTAGTACGTCTGGAGATAAGCTTATAAAAGTGAGTACTTAATACATAATAAACAAACTATGATGATTCTCATCGAGATTTTGTGCCTAAAAGGGCCAATGTACAGATTAAGACGTTCGTGACTAAATTAGAGCCGAATGGATCAATTTCACTTAGTGTAGATACACTTAGCAAGGTTGTGGAAGAATCTGGATTCCCTCAGCCTCTTAAGTACAACTTGTGTACACATGTATGTTTGACAAAGGAGATTATTTATTATCCAAGAGATATTTTAGGCTACAGCCTAATACATTGAATCCTACCCAGCGACACGTCTATTTAACCATTACGCAACGATCTAATCAATTTCTGTAGAAAGACTGCAAATAAGTAACATATCACGCCAAGGCACAATGAGCAAATAAGTGAAGAACTATAAAGTACGAAGACTAGGATCTAGATTATTTTCAAGCTACTCAATTATTATGTGCTACAAATAAGCATGCTTGCCAGAGCCCAGCGTAAAGTCAATCACGCACTTAACAAGCATTTTTGCTTTGGAAACAATGGAAATATGTCATAATATATACGTTTTAAAGTTCGTATTTAAATGACAATGACGTTGCTGGATTGGAGCCGTGCCGGAGCCTGCTTGTTGGCTGTACGATGACGTTAAGCGTAGCGTGTGATGCGCATAAAAGGAGGGCAATTGCATCGAGCGTCGAGTAGTAATCTTCGATCAAGCTCGGGCACAAAGCATGAGTGAGTGTGTGAGATCTTACATTTCGCTTTGTGTGCGAGCTGAAGGGGAACGCTGAACACCTATTTTTCCGCAGCTATTTTTAAAGTACCATCTATACCACTTTTCATTTTTTTAAATTTCGGCATTCACAAGAATCTTTTGCAAATTTATTGTTACAATACAATACCGGATATTGTATTGAACGAATATTCAGTGAAGACTACACTTGTGTATTCTTTATTTCGTCATTCGTCTTAGAGGAACCGCAGAAAAGTCTGATGTAGGACCAACGGTAAAAAGTTTATACCTAATTACGAAACTAATTGCCTAAATTACAGTCTACTAATGACAGTTTAACTAAAAAAACTGATTACTTAGCGGTATCTTTTAGAACCGGAAAATAATCCAGAGGCTTCTTAATTTGCAGTGGAATACACCCACTCGATATAATACAAAGAAATCTTGAACAATCTTGAGAAAAACTCGATCGGAGAACGATTCATTTTTATAACACTGTTAAGAACATTAGTGATTAGCCGTGTCACTTAATCTGTCGTAAAACGTTGGAAAATATTTAGTTTACTTCATCTACATAATATCATTATTCAGATCTATGTTAAATCTAATAACATAAAGATTATGCGAAAAAAATAAAACATCACAAACTTATATCAATTAGAAGAATTATAAAAATTTGGTAACATTCTGATATTCTGAGTCTAAAATCTTTCCAAGAATCCATACTAAACTTTCAGAAATGCGTAAAAATGTGTTAATATAATTATATATTTTATTGGTATATTAAATCCAGTGAAAGATTAATATAAAATGAGTAGGTACACAGCAAAATGGCATTCACAGTCACGGTCATGTATTGTACAAAAACTGAATGAATAAAGCCTCCATCATTGACAATCCCTTTGACCGTGATAAAATATTGGATTGCGTACATATTTCAATACCACTCGACGTTGACATTGACATTTAACATTGACATTCAGCGTGTAAAGTAATAACAACATTGTTCTGCATTTCTGTTTTCACTACCCGGTGAAAATAAACAGAAGTAATATTTATTTTAATACATACATTTGTGCCTATGTTTGAGTAGCAGCGCACCCACGCTCGCGCCCACGGTGCTACTCTTTCATTAAATTGTATTTGGAATGCTACTGCAACTCATTTAACTAAAATATTTTATCAACTATGTTAAAAACGCGGCAAATACTTTTATTAAACGAATATTTTGTTACGCTTTCTATACTTTGTGCAAGTTGAATGCAACCTACACGTGCGTAATTTTCGTAGAATTTATTATTGGCCTTCGGACTAGGTGCTTCGGGAAAAGCACCAATAAAGTTAATGATTTTAAAACCGCTAAGTGCATTATACTATGTAATGGATCCATCTAATTGTATACAGGTAGTAATAAAATTGGCCTATTTGTAAGCTTATTGTAGGTACCTCTAAACTATATATTTTTGAAATACAATGCATGATAAAATTCTCTGAGGTGGGTATGTACGGAACGCTAGCAATAAGTTTATATCAGTTTCATTACATTTTCCAAGAAGTACGAGTATATTCGAGTGCACATACAACGACATATTGAGTCGACAACTAATATTAAAGTTTCACAATATTCATTTTTATTCGTTCATGCGCCGAGTCAAGTTTTCTTGGAAAATTGTCACAAACCCTTTGGTGTTGCTGTTGCAGACAACTTCAATTTCCGTTTGATTTTATCTTAAAAATAGGAACATCTTTCATTGCATTTTGAGAAGTGATGTAACGTGAGAGAAATTACTATGTGATAGCGTACAAGGTACAAGGTAGGTACATTTATTGTATAGTAGGCTAGTATCAGACTACGACCACGACAACGTACGCTCTCTTACAAGAATTAGCATGGACTAACAAAAATCAATAAAGGAACCTTT